ATGCCATGTTGCAATGCAAGTTGAGTCAACAAGACATTTCACCCTCCCCCAACCCCCAGCATTCCCCAAGTTGCACCCAAGTCCAGACTTCTTAATTATCCCCCATTGACGCAGAGACAAGCCTACTTTGACGGCCCAGCTGACGTCAAAGTGACTTTTGACAAACTCAGTTCTGACGTCATCGTCTCTGCTCCACTAGGTTCCATAGTAACTCCGTCTTGGACAGAAATAACTTGCGAGACGCCTGCTTCATGGCCCCATTCAAAGTGCCTCTAACATTCCTAGAGTTCAACATTAAACCGTCTGTTGTACAGTTTTATTGGGTTGTCGTAGTCTTTTTCGGTTTCGGCCTTTTTCATTTACAATACTGTATATTCAACAATTGTAAATCTCCTCACAAGATGGAGTGAAAACTGGATTTTGTTTATTATTTGATACTCTTCCTGTGGATTGAATTGCACATCAATCTAAGGTGATATACATTCTGGATACCAAATCAGATTGAAAAAAGGTCAATTATTTATTGAATGTACCCTTAATTATTGTATTCTTTATGAAACAGTGTCATTCTTTGTGTGTGTTTTTAAGGTCGATAAGAAGCAAATAACTTGTGTTATTCAATCTATAACAATCTTCGATTATAGGAAAAATGTACGAACCCCCAATCACTTTTTGTAACACCACAATTGATATGTTCACACAAACATATACAAGCAGTTTAAAATGATGTTTTAACCTTATCAAAAATAAGGGTACTTATGTATTATACTGACCACACCGATAAATCGACTTCCAAAAAAGATTTTAATTGGTTTAAATAACAAAATTATCCTAGCCTCACCTAACCTAACCACCCTTAGGTTAGGTTATGATTATTAGGTGTAGTCAGTATAATACGTAAGTACCTAAAATAGGTCAACTTTACGAGATTACAACCGTACAAAACTATTCCCTATGGTTCATAGGCTCTCACAAAACCCCCTATGTCACAACCCCTTTTACATGAGCGACCATAATCGCTTCAGCCTTTATGGAATGCCTGAATTGGACATTAAACAAGACTATAAAGTCATGTTACATCCCGGAACCCAAGAACAGCGGTTTTGATGATGCAGGTCGGTGACGAGAGGGGAGGGGATCGATGCGATGGCGTCACGGGATGCGACGCCGGCGGGACGCGTCTGGACTCCCCGGGACTCCTTCGATGATAACACATAGCTTATCCCACAGGACTTTTCATTGCGATCGGGAATAATGTGTTGGATGTGTTCAATTGCACTATTCTTACGCTTTCTAGAGTATGGAGTGTTAGGGAACTATGGTATAAAGGATATCGGGATTTCTGTCGTGGGTACATGTAATTTAACCCAGTTAATATCCAATTGATTTTACTTTCTCCTCCTATACATAGTAGGAAGTATTATTTTCGTAAATATTTTCAAATTTGAGTTTGGTGTGGATTTCCGTTTTGGGTCTCCCCTCTGACCCAAATTCTTTTCCCTGAATCCAAAAAAGATGTCTGTGTGTTTGTGTACATAGATAGATACTGCACTAATGGTCCAATTTTGATGAATTTTTATAAGTGTGGTAATTGTATTTCCAGGGTTTTTCATTTTTTGCAATTTTATTTTTCAATGGCAATTTTCATAAAATAACAGAAAATCTGATTTTCAAAAATATGGCTCAGCTAATTGTTATTTATATTAAGTGCCTAAGCCATAGACGTTTCAACTCCAAACGGTACAATACCCATTGCTGTAAAGAATTCCGGTTCAAAAGTAAATTACAGTTTTTGTGATTTTTCCATGAAAACTTATAAAATAACAGAAAATTTTATTTTCAAATACGGCTCGAACGATTCTGAATAAAACTTTGTATGCTATAGCCTATTTAAGTCTACACAAAATCGTACAATCCCCTTCCACATTCCACAGGTGTAATGTAAAAATTACGGTTTAATATTATTTCAGTTATATGTTAGATCATGTAGTAAACACCTACTCTTCATCAAATATTGATGTAGGAGAATACAGTTTAAGTAGAAAATAGGCGAAGGCCCAACATTCGCCTATTGGATGTGATGGTGATTGGAGTGTCCAATCGAAATAGACCACTTCATCTTTTATAGGTATTTACCGTCTTGTGAGTAAAAAGTATATGTAAATATATTATTAAAATTCTAATTTGACGATTTTTTTGTGCTTTCAGGTAATTTAATAACACGTACGATGCTGATAAAAATCTTAACATAAGTATTTTAAAACAAAATAGCTACATCTTGTTGTAATTGTTGATTTCTATGGCAAAGTCATTTTTAAAGTTTAGCCAATTTTATACCTGATTTAGGTCTTAATAAAGTTATGAGAATAAATGAAAAATTATAATTTAAAATAACATTTTTAGCTTATTCTTTGGAAAAAAATTATTTAATTAATCTCAACCATTGCAATGTTTTATACTCCACAATATTAAGTGACAACTAATATAATTGAGTGTTTTCAGCAGGCCATGAATTCGCTAAAAAGGTACACTAAGGTTTAATAGACCCAGGTTTAAGGTACGATATCGGTCGTGTCTTTCAGCAGCGAATGATAATTATTGAGAGACTATCAGACCACGCCTTGTAAATCAATATTAGGACTTCGTTAGTTCCATCATCCGTGAATCAACCATAGACTACTAAATTAATTTTTAATTTACGGTTTCTAGCAATCTTCTTTCTGTGATGCATGTTCTACACAACAGTTAGTCTTATTCAATTTCTCAGCATTCACAGAAATGGTCTATCACGTGTAATTATGTAGAATGTGTTGATCAGATGTGCTGAAACAGCTGATTCCATCACACCGGTTTAGTTCGGTTTTAAACCAGCTTTTGCAGCATCGTTGCCAAGCTGAGGTTATGCACTGCGTTATACACGATTTATAAAAGGACCATACATGTATAGTTGCTACCATCATTAACTGGCTAAGCAGCTGAGTGGTTAAAGTGCTCACCAACAATCAAAAGGTTGCCGGTTCGATCCTGAGTAAAGTCAGTGGGTTTTTAATGGTTCGAAACTGGACCCAGCTGTTCCTGATCATTGGGCTTTATAATGATTCTGACTGTTGAAACAGCTAATCTTAGTAAAAAAAAAAAAAAAAAAAACTACACAGATCATCTCACAGCATTCTATAGGCCTACTCTTATTTGGGTTAAATCACACACCTAGCGCGTCCCCATCTCATTATAATAATGATGATTGTCTTTTGGATATTGAAGTCTATGTCCAATGTAATGGATCAACTGTTAACAATTTTATTTTTTTATTGTTGAACGAGTTCGTTATAGAGTACGCTAAGGTGTAAAACTATATTTTCTACCTTAGTTTTTGCATAGACAATTAAATATAGACTTTCAGCCGTGCTGCGGTTACCATGGTTACGGTTACCATAGGTTCTGGCACACACCGCTGGGAACGCCGTGTAGTTACATAGCACGTACGCCGGAACTACATGGCACTCCCAGCGGTGTGCACCAGAACCTATGGTAACCGCAGCATGGATGATGGTCTATATTTAATTCTTTTTTGTCTATGGTTTTTGTAATTAAGATAGTTGATGTGACAAAAAAAGTTGATTGTTTACACCTTTCGATTTCAGCTTTGTTAAAATGTTTGCAAACTCGAAAAAAAAATTAATAACACATCAGCGACGTGGTTGGTGTCTCAATTAATTTAATTTAATTCTCATCCTAAATCGTGCTCCATCTTTAACACGGAAATGTAATGTCTAAGAATCATTTACTTTATATTCGGATTAAATGTGTCACAATGCCATACGGGTAACGTACGATTATGCATCAAAATGTTTTGTGTAGACAAAAGATTTTGCTACGTTTATCGCCGTTTTCATGAAATTTAAAATTCATTTTACTTTGTAAAACAGTATAGTGTTCGTAGGATTTAAGATTTCAATGGAAAAGATGATTTGATTTTTACAAAAACTTTTTTTATGACACTTCTAGAATATGCTTCCTGATACATATTTCCAAAGACTGTCCTTATTTTTAATCCAGCTGATCAGTTGATTATTTGTTGTTGTTTTTATTTATGTTTATGTGAGGTTATTCAGTAATAAATATACACTAAACAGTGAACATTATAATTGTATTAAATTAGTTTAAAGTACATAATACTCCTATCACCCAATGGATCAAAAAGTAATAAATGATTGGCAAGTAAGTTAGAATTACATTACTTTTGTAAGTAAAATCTTTGCCTTCTGCGACTAATGCATAGGTAACGATAAATTATATCCTTTTAACCCTTCGTCTTTTTACTAAATGTATCGATTGGTATTTTTAGAAATTTGTCCAGCCAAAATTTCAGAAACTCATTTGTTCTTAATAAAGCTGTAACAGTTAACTAATACATGTTGAATACCAAATTAACCCTCCCAGACATTTATAGCAATTTTAACATTTCAGGATAAACACTCTGACTCCATGCTCAGTAAGTAGAATTTATAGAACGAATCCCATATCCATTTAATTTAAATTTTTGCAAGACATTATATTTTTATTTTACAAATTTAGTTCTAAGTGGTTTGATAAAATAACATTTTGTCCCACTTATTTACTAGATACTACTAGATAGCCTATTATAATGCACTTACAGTAGATACTACAGTAAGAGCATTGAATATTAATAGTCAAAGGGATAAGCATTTCAAAGTCGAAAATCGTTTAAATTTCACCGAGGATGAATGAGCACTATGGTAACTGTCGCGAAATTGAACTATTCCAAGAATCACCATCAGAGTATATTCCTTGAAATAATGTTTGATTTGAAGAATCCTAAGAGTTTCTGTTTAGCTTTAATCGACCGTTCATCCTGTATACTATTGCAAACTAAGGTGGCTTTCCATGATTTTTCTTAGCTTGTCTCTTGTTCTTTATTTTTTATAGCTATGCAATCTCATATTTTATTAGAATTTAATAGGGAAATGTTTATGTTTCAGGTAGAGGGTAGAAGTGCAGAACGATGCTGGGCTCCAGCTCGACGCGGGTGTTCAAGCTGCCTGCGATCTGACCCAAACTGTCAAGTGTCTTCTCGCAATTCAGTCTTTCATTCCCTGGAGGAGAGTCAGTGAACAGTGGAAAGTTGCAAGTAGTCCAAGAGTCAACCAAAAGGTCTATTTTCATCTTAGTTTCTCATGGTGCCACCTTTCAAAATGTGCAAACAAAGTAACTGCAAAAGAGTCTTAAAGATGGTGTTCCTTTGATAGAATATTTTCCATCAGAAGAGAAGAAAAACAAGCCATCAATATGAATAAAATGGTATCGACCTTGTCTCTTGCAATCCACCCGGAGAGCAAAGAGGACAACATGGCCAAGAAGCTGGACAATTTGAAACAAGAAATAGACATAACGGATCACACAATTCCGTTAAATGATTTCTATAGGAAATACCAAACGCACCCTGAGAAAGGCCTTTCCACCCAACAGGCAAAGACGTTTCTCGCGCGAGACGGGCCAAACGCCTTGACTCCGGAGAAAAGGACTCCAGCATGGGTGATTCTACTCAAACATTTATTCCAAGGGTTCTCAATCCTGTTATGGATTGGGGCCGTTTTATGTTTTACCGCGTATTTTATAGAGTCTCAGGTGTCGGAAGAGGCTCCCAGGGACAATTTATGGTTAGGTATAGTGTTGTGTTGTGTATGTACTATCACCGGTGTATTTTCATACTCACAGGAGGCGAAGAGCTCAAGAATAATGGATTCCTTTAAGAACATGGTTCCTACTTATGCGAACGTCATCAGAGACAGCCAGAAGAAGACGATTCTGTCTCAAGAACTGGTAGTGGGAGATGTCGTGTTGGTCAAGTTCGGAGATCGTGTACCAGCTGATATCAGAGTTATCGAGAGTCAAGGATTCAAAGTCGACAATTCATCTCTGACTGGTGAATCTGAACCACAGTCGAGGTCAATAGAGTGTACCCACGAAATAGCACTTGAGACAAAGAACCTAGCGTTTTTCTCTACAAATGCTGTTGAAGGGACAGCTAAAGGAGTTGTTATTCTCACTGGGGATCACACAGTCATGGGCAGGATAGCGGGTCTTACATCGGGTCTGAAGACTGGAGATACTCCGATAGCCAAGGAAATTCACCACTTCATGCATCTTATATCTTGTTGGGCGATGTTTCTTGGTTTCACTTTCTTTTTATTGTCATTCGCTTTAGGTTACCACTGGTTGGACGCTGTGATTTTCCTCATAGGAATCATTGTCGCCAACGTTCCAGAAGGTCTTTGCGCTACAGTGACAGTTTGTTTGTCTCTAACTGCTAAAAGAATGGCCTCCAAGAACTGTGTTGTGAAACATCTGGAAGCTGTAGAGACTTTGGGATCTACCTCAACCATCTGCTCGGATAAAACCGGAACGCTAACTCAAAATCGGATGACCGTTACCCACATTAGTTACAATCTAGACATATTTGATGTAGATTACTGTTTGTACGATAGTGGTTTAGCTGATAGAAACTGCAGTGAGTATAAGGAACTGTTTAGAGCTGGATGTCTGTGCAGTCGAGCTGAATATTTATCGAACCAAGATGAAGTCCCGATCCTAAAAAGGGATGTGATGGGTGATGCATCCGAAGCAGCTATTTTGAAATTTTCAAGTTTAGCTGAAGGAGACGTTATGGAATTCAGAAAACGACACAGGAAAGTATGTGAAATCCCCTTCAACTCCACAGACAAGTTCCAGGTATCAATTCATGTTCTTCCAGACTCCAACAAACACCTGTTGGTTATGAAAGGTGCTCCCGAGAGGATATTCGAACGTTGCTCAAGAATACGAATTGACGACACTGAAGTGCCTATCGACGACAGAATACGAGAAGAATTTGAAATTATTATAGAACAGCTCGGGAACTTTGGCGAGAGAGTTTTAGGCTTTTGTCAGTTACCATTGAGCAACGATTTTCCATTGGGATTTAAATTCAATAGCGAAAAGCCAAATTTCCCCCTAACTGGTTTGAGCTTCCTCGGACTCATGTCAATGCTTGATCCACCGCGCCCGGCTGTACCAGATGCTGTTGCAAAGTGTCGAACTGCAGGAATCCGTGTTGTCATGGTAACTGGAGATCACCCTGTAACAGCCAAGGCTATAGCTAAGTCCGTTGGAATCATATCTGAAGGATCCGAGACTTTGGAAGACATGGCGAAACGATTAAACGTTCCAGTGTCATCACTTGATCCGAGTGAATCTACCACAATTGTGATTCAAGGATCAAAGCTGCGAGATATGACTTCAGATCAACTTAAACACATTCTGAAAACCCATAAGGAAATTGTTTTCGCCAGAACATCTCCAACTCAAAAACTGCACATCGTTGAAGGCTTCCAAGAACTAGGAGCTATCGTGGCAGTGACAGGTGATGGTGTGAACGACTCACCAGCTTTGAAAAAGGCCGACATCGGAATCGCTATGGGAATCACTGGTTCTGACGTGTCAAAACAAACCGCAGACATGATATTGCTGGATGACAACTTCGCCTCAATCGTCACCGGTGTGGAAGAGGGGAGACTGATATTTGACAACCTGAAGAAATCCATTGCGTACACTCTGGCATCAAACGTACCTGAAATTACTCCATTCCTTGCATTTATAGTTAGTGGAATCCCATTGCCCCTGGGAGTCGTAGCCATCTTGTGTATTGATCTCGGTACCGACATGTGGCCAGCCATATCTCTCGCTTACGAAGCTCCAGAGTCTGACATCATGCGTCGTCGTCCCCGAAACCCCAGGAAGGACAAACTCGTCAACGGCAAACTGATCTTCTTAGCCTACGGACAGATTGGAGTAATCGAAGCCGTCGCAGGATTCTTCTCCTATTACGTCATCATGGCTCAAAACGGTTGGTGGCCTATGAAGCTTTTCGGCATCAGGAAATACTGGGACTCCAACAGCATCAACGACCTCGAGGACTCTTATGGTCAGGAATGGACCTTCGCCAACAGAAAGATCCTCGAGTTCACATGCCACACTGCCTTCTTCATCGCCATTGTAGTCGTGCAATGGGCTGACCTAATCATTTGCAAGACTAGGTACAACTCGATCACCCATCAGGGAATGGGCAACTGGGTACTCAACTTCGGCATGGTGTTCGAGACGCTGTGTGCCTGCTTCGTCTCTTACTGTCCTGGCATGAGCGAGGTGCTGAGGACCTACCCGGTGAGGTGGGAATGGTGGCTGCCTGCCGTACCCTTCGCCATCGTCATCTTCGTCTACGATGAGACCCGACGATTCATCATGAGGCGCAACCGTGGAGGCTGGATCGAGAGGGAGATGTACTACTAAGCATTTGTGTTCAACCAAAGACAACCGGCAGACTTGTCGAGCAAAATGTTTGTATATATTGTAGATCAGTTGAATTAATTGATAAGTTTTGTTATAATCGAACCATGTTGTTACTAAACCGTCTCACGGTCGATATCTGTTCCTCCTCCTAAATGCATCCGTGCCGGGCGCAAAACGGTTAAGTAGAGTATTTTCTAAACGCTGTTTTGTTTCAATTAGTTCCATAGAGCTTCGACGATGCCGGAGAACATAGTGATAGTGTACCAATGGAGGTGCGCAAGTGGGAACCTATAGCATCAAGTAGTTGTAACCATAATAAACATGTATTTGATGGAATATGTCTTTAAAGTAAGAATACCGAATAAGCTTTAGGGTATACAAATCGTTATACAATAACGTATGTCGATATCCATGTATTTGTTATAGTGAGCGATATTTTTTCTAGAACCATATAAAGTATTTGTTATATTGTCAAAGTTCTATTGGCGTGTTTTCAAAACAATATTTTCTTACTCCTGTCTTTATTCGAATCCTAAATTGTATATTTTTGACAGTTTTGGTTAGAATGTGAGTCCACAAAATGTAATGGGAGAAGTTATGTTTGTTGAGTCGGTCCCTATTGTTTGCTACAGTTGTAGATCGAAGAGTTAGTGTAGATGGTCTAAAACCACCATGTCAATGTATGTAGACTAGGCCTGAATTCTGTATCACTTGCCTTGCAGTTGAAATTGACTGAATAAACCAATTCTGTGCCGTTCTTTTTTGATAATTATTGTTTGGTTGTCCTTTAACCTTGGTTGCCTTGTTCAGATTTCAGAAAGATATTAAAGTTATACCTCCAATATTGATGCAACAATTACGTAACACAGAGCATACGTAATAAAAGGTTATCCAAGTCAATGAACGTCAACTATATTATTAATGAGTACAGGAACCTAAACCCTACATAACGTGCGATTGATAACAGAAAAGATACCCTGAAGGTTTTTCCTACACTCATCTCCATTCATACTTGGCTTAAAATACCTACTTTGTATGGTCGCCATTTCAATGAAAAAGTATCTTCTATATATAACAGGCAAGCATGTTTCTTTAAAACCTTTTTTCTCAGCCTGTATGCATCGTAGGGAAAATCTACGCTTACTGTTAGAAAAATATTTTCCTGTAGATGTGCAAAATCTCTTTAAAAATTGAAATAGACTTAATTATAAGCACAAAAAATGATTTTGAAATCAAAAAAATTAACATGGGCTTAATGGATTGCCATGCTGGTAACAAAATAACAACGAAATCTAAACAGAAAATCAAAACAAATGGAAGAAATTACAATCACATGTTTTATTTACAGCGTGGGGTGAAAATAGAGAAGCCTGTACCTTTGACTTACAAATAGACATTCCATCCCCATGTTAAAGTTGTCGCCAGTTTTAATTAAATTTGTCGTAGTTGATGTGGGCCACCGACAGATTGCGCTGATCTAAATTACTAATCTCTCTCGAATTCACGGTGATTTTTATCAAGTCAAACTAATGGAATGACTTATAGAGCCATAGCAACTAACTGTTATGACACATCAACTTTGTCAGCAACAAAAAATAAGATAGAAAATATAATTTTAGACACACATACTGTGACTGTTTCACACAACTACATGTTTTTAATAAAAAAAATTGTGACAACTGGTCCATGTAGATAGAATGTCTACTTCAGTATCCAATAGTCAATGCGGGTACATTACATATTTTTGGTCGAGTTTTCGACCCCTGAACTACCACTAGTTTTTAATAGTTCGTAACTGGACTCAGCTGGCTTTAATCTAAATTACCCTGGCTAAAAAGTCTGGGTAAGAGACAGATTTAATTCAGTAACAAAGCTGCAAATGGCATTTTACTCATCTAAAATGTTTGAAACACGCAACATTGTGTTTAGGTCTCAGTGCAATTATACGATGAATATGATGAATACGATGAATCAATTAATTCACAAAAACTTTCGCATAAGTTTCCTATTTTATCGTACCAAGCTTATTACCATCACAGAGAATACATTCAACACCTATAATAACTCTTTTAAATAGGTTTTAAACAATTCAAACTGATCGTTGCACTCCCATTCCTATTTTAATAGGTTTTGATAAAGCCCAACTGATTAAACAGATTTTTGCGCCACCAAATCTTAATTTATCTTGTATTTTTGGATTTTCTTCCTTTGAAAATAAACTTAAAATCATTATAATATAATATTTGAAATCGATTATTGGTCTATGATTAGATAATTTACAAACATGTTTATATTGAATTATTGAAAGTAAAATCATCCAGAAATCTTTTCTGAATGATATTCAGGCAACGGAAAGTTTTGATATTACAATTTCAATCAATGATGTTGACAAAATTAACACATACAAAAAATCCATCAGGCTTAATGTATTATTGTGAGCTTCTTGCAACGCTATGAATTGAAAAGGTTTGAACATTTCAAACTTAAAGTTAAAAAAATACAAGAATTTGTCTGATATTTATGCGTTACGAGAGCAGTCACCGATGCATGTCTAACAGCCCAGGGAGCGATCAGCTGAGCTGTCTAAATGGCGGGAAGTGATTGGTTCCGGCGGGAACTGTGTTACAGACAGTATTTATTATACCATAAACACAATCTTTGGAAGATGTTAGCTAACTGTTGTACTGTTACTGACTTTTTTTAAACTTCTAGTAAGATCACAGTTAAAAAATGTGGTCTTTTTCCTAATACACAGATAAACAATACCCTTATCTTAAAATACTACTCTTAAGATTGTCTTTAAACATGCTAATTAAAAAAAATTTGAACCCATAAAATTACCTAAATTTGACAGAGGAAAGAAGAAGAGGCTAGTGATGGAAGTAGGTCAGAAGGTTTTACCACAATTAATGTGAAAGAATTTTTTTGTCAGGATGACTTTCAAATACCCCTGTTTTTTGCTGGTGTTTTCCTGGCTTTTAAAGTACCATGTTTGTAAAAACTAGGTAATCTGAAAAGGCAACAAAACACTGGAATCAACATGAAAAAGAGGAAAATGTCAGCATTCATATGCAACGTATCTTATTTGTTATATCATGGTTTGTTCAATGAAATCAGTTAATCTATGTAAACTATAAATTGCGCACGAATTAATTAGGTTATCTATTCTTTTTTCAATGAAGGGGTTTTCATAGAATGCATGAATGCATTATGCTATATAGAACACCACAAACTAGTATTTATGGAGAGTGATGAAATCATAAAAGACCAATTTTATGGTTCATAGATGTAATCACAGATTTTACTACTCACTTTGAGTTTAAATTAAGTAACTATACACTAGGAACTTTTGAACTGTTATGAAAAGTCTCCATCAATAAGTTTTAAAGTAATATGCTAAAATAATTAATATTGGCGAAAAATCAGAATTTTAAACTTTGTTCCTCATGTTTTAGTAAAAGCTGTAATGTGGTACAGTGAGTTTCCTATATTAATTTATTAAATTAATTTAACCTGTGATCTCAATTAAATTATTTGATAAGAGAGGTTAAAAATATTAAGAGTTTGATTTCTGAGAAGGTGAGAAATCCAGTTCGAAGGATCATAAAAGTAATGTTGAATTTAAAATCATTATTTGAGTGTAAGGAGAATATGAACACTTGTATAAAGGTCACAAGAGAAAAAAATTCTCTAGGGAGTAAAAAAAACATAAACAACAGTTTGCAATTTACTTCAACCGATAATACTTTACTTATTCCACCAAATACTTAACTCCAATTTTACGACAACACCAATTGCATTATTGTGGCATTACAGAATACTATACCAGTATCTAGCTAGGAATGGATGGGATCGTACTTACCAATAACTTATTATCTTCTCTCTTGAACTCCAATTATTATTATTAGTTAGTGATAGGAGAAGGCAGGTGCCATCCCTTCAAATAATAGATTAAAGTAGTTAGCTAATAATTGTTCCTTTGACATTAATATGAACACATTTCAGAGAACACACCGATCTTAAAAAGCACAACAAATAGAGAACATCTTGATTGGTTTGAATATTAAAAATATGTTATGCAGCAAACACTTTTTCAAGCCACAAAAATAATGTAAATATTTTCTTTTCACTTCATTAAATATAGCCAGCTGTTCCCTTAATAGAACAGATTCAAAGTATTCACATGTTCAATTGTAAACAAATTTTTCTCAACATGGGAACTTTAAAAGCCACTGGGGCAGAGCTCTGATGGTATTTCTTGAAAATGCCTCTTATTGCACGCCTAGAGCCTAATTAGAATCTCCATACCAATTCCTGAGTTATTATGGTTATTAGTTTTTGGGATAGAGTGATCAGTGAGTCAGTATTTGAATTTTATAAGTAGATGATAGGGATAAGTAGGATCCATGCAGTGTTTTCTAGTCAGTCCGAGCCGGGACTGGTTGACTGGTAGGATATAAAGCAACTCCAAGGTCGTGCGGACCAGTCCCTAGTCAGTACCGTTACATGATGGCAGCCTCTACAGCTGTGCTGCTCCTAGCCCTGGTCCTCCTGACAGTCGGTGAGTGATAAATAGTGATAAGAGTGATATAGAAGTGAACAATAATGTGTAGTAAAATGTACTAGATGTAATTTGTTAAAGAAGTTATTCTGGGAAAGGTCAGTAGCTTAAGTTTTTGGCCAACACTTGACGCCCTAGAAGACCATTAGGAGAAGCTAAGTTGGTAAAAGTCTAGAAGAAAGAATATTCTTCCTGGGATACTGTGTTTACTTAAAGCTTCTGGGTAGTAAATGAAAAACTGTTCCTGGCAATTATACTCAATTTATGATCAGCTAGTCTTTATTGTATCCTAAGTCATATAGTATCCAGGAAAACTTTAGTACTATAAATTTTATTTAGTGCCAGCCTAGGAATCTAGGTTGTCAAAGATACTAAGAAATGTCCATACCTTTTTGATATTTCAAAACTGGTTTCAATCACTGGGTGATGAAGGGCAAGGGAATCAAAACAGCTTATACTAGTATGTAAAATGCTGCAAGGTATATAACTCCATTTTATTCCCATATGGAACTTAAATAAGGTAATTTAGCTGTATTTATTTATTGATGAATTACCAATGGAAATCTCAGCCATAACACAATGGCAAAAGAATCATCAACATAAGGAACAGCCATCAGAGAGGTGATCTTTAAAAAGGAAATACATAAACATAGCAGTAAACATTGACATTGAGGGTAATAACATGATCAAGCCAATTAGTAAAAAAATAGCCTTTTAAAGTTTTATCAACAAAATTTCAACCAATCGTCTCAAAGACAATCTAAAAAAAGACTAAAGGCCTATCCGTAGGTACTAATAGTTTTCTGTACTGTAAATCAGTTTATCTATAAGGTAAAATAGTGGAACCTTGATAAGAAGACCTTCGATAACAAGTCGCCCTTGATAACAAGTGTAATTTTCAAATCCCCTTAAAATTATTTTACCCCAAATCACATGTTATTACAAACCTCGATAAGAAGTCAACCTTGATAACAAGTCTTGTTCAACAATTCCCATTAGATTCTTGTTATCAAGGTTTTACTGCATATATCTTGTTTATACAATGACATGTTTGTTTTAGAATCAACAATATTTGACAGTATTTGTTATTTCCACAGAGATTTTCTAGATCATATTCCTTGTATAGTTGTGTGTAGTACCTGAAAGTGTAAAAAAGATAGGATTGAAATATTACAAATACCATGTGAAAGTTTACGCCACAATTTCTCCATATACCGTTCCATAATACACTCCGTTGGACAATACAGTTATTATCAAGTTGAGTAAACAATGACACAACACTATCCAATTATAGTTGAATCAACCTCACTTATAGTTTCTCACAGTTTAAAATTCCACCCAGCCTTAGGCTCAATGTTGGTAAACATCACCTATAGTCTCCAGTTTGGTTGGATATGAACCACGTTTCAACACTATCCAGTTACAGTCGAATCAACCTCACTTATACTTTCTCACAGTTTAAATTCCACCCAGCCTTAGGCTCAAAGTTGGTAAACATCACCTAGAGTCTCCAGTTTGGTTGGATATGAACTACGTTTCAACACTATCCAATTATAGTTTAATCAACCTTACTTACACTTTCTCACACTTAAAATTACACCCATCCCTAGGCACAATGTGAGTAAACATCACCTATAGTCTACAGTTTTGTTGGATACGAACCACGTTTCAACACTATCCAGTTATAGTTGAATGAACCTTACTTATACTTTCTCACAGTTGAAATTCCACCCAGCCTTAGGCTCAATGGGCTCAATGTTAGTAAACATCACCTATAGTCTCCAGTTTGGTTGGATATGAACCACGTTTCAACACTATCCAATTATAGTCGAATCAACCTTACTTACACTTTTCCACACTTTAATTCCACCCCTTAGGCTCACTATTAGTAAACATCACCTATAGTCTCCAGTTTGGTTGGATATGAACCACGTTTCAACACTATCCAATTACAGTCGAATTAACCTTACTTACACTTTTCCACACTTACAATTCCACCCATCCCTAGGCACAATGTTAGTAAACATCACCTAGAGTCTCCAGTTATGTTGGATATGAACCACGTTTCAACATTATCCCCAGTAATGTTTAATTATAGTCGAATCAACCTTACTTACACTTTTCCACACTTAAAATTCCACCCATCCCTAGGCACAATGTGAGTAAATATCACCTATAGTCTCCAGTTTCATTATGAACCACGTTTCTCAAGGGATACCACGCGAAAGCTTGACCTTCAAGAGGAATTCTTCTTCACTTTCACATGGACGAGTGGTCTTTCCCAACTGTTATCTCAACATCAACAATGACGGAAAACAAGCGGTCCCTTAAGCTAATTGGATCTATTTTAATGAGTGGATTGATCAGCTAATTATCTTGTTAACATAATTTAAGTAGATAATTTTCTTATGTTATAAAAACAGCCAGTCTCTTGAAGCTAAGAAGTTTTTCAATGGATCAAAACTGAATTCAATGTCCACTGGCCTTTAAAAACATATTAATGACTAAAAAACAGCTGATTTGTGTAATTAATACACAAAGATAACCCCACTCAATTCTACACTCACCTAAGTATTATAGAAGATAAACTCTTTATCATGCAAATAATTTTGTTTGTAACTCTTTTAGGTTAAATAAACACCGCCAATTTCTCAATCCTAAGAAGCCGGTATGGATCATAAACATAAACAAATGACGTTTTTGGCCCGAAAATAAACATTATTTAACATTGCTTAAATGGAACTGCCAAAACATATGTTCAATGCTATTAGTATAGGATTCGGGCCAACAACGTCATTTGTTTATGTTTATGATCCATACCGGTATTTTTCTAGTAATCGTGCTAAGAAGCCTTGGTTTGTTTTCTGAAGTTTCGAAACTGAACCCAATGGTCATTGTTCATTTTAAAATAGTCCTGACTATTGAAACAGCTGGTCTTAGGAATAAGCCACAAACGCTAATCTAAAGTAACTCCTCATTAATTTGGATAGGAATTAATTTAATCCGTACGACCACAACCGTTTGGCAGCAGTTACGCTAAATTAAGAATATAAACAAGACCGTTTAGGTGCACTGTATAGAGTATTTGTATTTAACTGTTTTAGTTTTTAATTCATGATAGAATTTGTAACCGTTTTAGGTTAATGGGGTTACATTACCTTCAAACAATAACCAATCGGTCCAATAGTTTTTCTTCATATTAATTTTGTTTCAAGCAATCGGGCTTTCATTTTACTGTCGTACTTAGATTGCCGATTCATTTGAATTAATGTGCGTATGTACAAATTTATCACTCTCAGGGTCAAAGTTCGTAAGAGGTAACATAAGAGGATATTGTACAAAAAAACGCGTGTAAATTCACACCTAAAGCGGAATGAGACAATGGCCAATAGTGACAACTGTTTTTACCAGTATTAGTTGCATTGTATCACTAATTCGCATCCAAAGGTATTGCGAATCCTTGATACAGATGCAGTCTTAAAGGTTGAGTAACCAACATGCAAGATCGTTTTGTTACACTATTGATGGTCAAACATTGATATTTCTACCAATAAAATCTAAATTTCCCTCTCTGGTTTGTGAAATTCCCTGCAGATAATGGGGATAATCTACTTATTATTTACCATTAACCACCACCACTTATTAATTATTTAATTACCACTTATTATTTCGTTATTATTTACTTTTTGGTTATTTATTTTGCGTGTTGTTAATTAACACGCAAATGTTAAATTTGAAGTAAACCAGTTTTGTTCCGATCTGATGCCACTAGAAGAGCGTTAACATGAGCAGTCCAATAGGTATGAAACATCAGAATAGTTATGGCCTTTTTAGGATACCTTCCTTGATCTAGAAAATACTTCATGGAATTAATACGGAAACAGTACCTTATATGAAAAGGCTGATCTACTCTTATGAGACCAGCCCAGAAAAACATTCTTTAATTATCTCTACGAACCTTTTTGATAAATTATCTCACCTATATATTGTACCAGGCAATGTCGCTCCCACGAAAATCTAAATATTTTCTTTAGATGATGCTGACTACCATAGGATGACGAAAGCGGCCGAGTTGTGAGCCAGAAGATCTTTTTTTATTCCCAAGAAACTTTCTTGGAATCTTAAAACACTGGTGTGCTGGTTTGGCACCCGTTAACATTATTTCTTCTCAAATTAGGGCCTTCCTATACATTTGCTCGACTCTCTCTCAGGATGTTGAAGGCAGTTATGAGTCAGAAGGATTATTTTTCATCCCAACGAACTTTTTTGATAGCTTGTCTTAATGATATAACTCTACTTATAATAATATTGTATGAGTTGTTATGGCTCCCGCTATAATGTGCAGTATTTCCCTCGGATTTGCTCAACCTCGCTGTACAATAGAGAAGGTACCCAGTTGAGAGACAACAGAATCACATTTGTTCATCCTAATGAACTTTTCTTGACAACTTACTGATCCGATGTACAAATATTGTACCACTTAGAGCTCCCAACAAAGTTTAGGTATTTCTCTCAGATTAACTCAAGAATACTGATGAAGGAACCGGTCTAGTTGTGATCCAGAAGAGTTATGTTTGTTCGTCCACTTACACCTTCATACTTTCATATTGACGTACTAAAAGTGTATTAGTTAATATCCCTCGTTCGAAAATCTATCTACAAATAGTTCTTTCCCTCGGATTTGCTTGACCCCCACTCAGGACTGAAAAATCTGTTGTGAGCCAGAAGAACTGTGATTGTTTATTCTCATGAACTTTCTTAGCTATACCGTTTTAGCCATGTTGTACAAAATAATATCGCTCCCGCCAAAAATCTAGATCATTCTCGCGGATTTCCTGGAACTACTGCTAAAGTGGTCCAGTAGTAAGTCAGAAGAATTTATGTTCTTCCCCATGAACATTGTAGCTTATCATTCTGACGTGCTAATATGTTATCAGTAACTATTGCTCCCGCCAAATTCTAGAACCCGCAGTTTTGCTCAAAGCCCCCATGGGGAAAGC